AGGCATTTTTAACGAATTTCTGACCCATATTACAATAAATTTTCACTTACTACACAACTAATGAGAAATTAAAAAAACAAATAACGTAGCAACATTAAGCTATGTGTTTTCTATAATTTAAAACGGTTCCGAATAATTTCGCACGTAAGGCGTCAATTATGGTCTACACTCAAAAAGTGCTATTTTTTGACCTAAAAGTTGAAATATCTCGGAATTGATATGAAGAAATGACCTGAAATTTTGGATATGTACTAATGGCACTAGGTCCAATATATCCTGAAAGTTTCATGAAGAACTCATGTACTTGAGTCCAGGTGAGTAGGGGCATGAGGGAGTATAGAGATGTCATCTTTGCTAATCTGAGCAAATTACGATGCTAACAAATTTTTCGAAACTATCTTTTGTCAACAATATTGTCTCTCTAAGAACCACAAATTCTGAAATTTTCAGCTTCATCTAATCATTTTTATATATAATATTCAATATTCAATGCAATATTCCTACCTTGTCCCAGAACTTTTGACCAATGGACTCATATTCGAATTTATATAACTTGCTATAGAAACGTGCAATTATAATGCTATAACAGTATATGAGAGATCGCTATTAGATCTATCAAAGCACATCACCAGTTGCTCATAGTAGCTTGTTAATAAAATATTATAAAAGGGAAAAGTTTGTCCCAGAACTTTTGTCCAGCACTGTATTTTTATTATAATTATAGTCAGATTTAATCATTCAAAACAATGTATAGAAAATCTTTTTTTACACATAATATTGTCAGATAAATAGTCTATTAGTTTGACATGAATTGATGGAAATAATTCTGTCAGAAACTTTTAAGTTGAATCTAATGATTTGCAAGAATTCATAGCTGATCTGATGCTTCGATATCAGAACTATTTATCAAAGCATCATGTATTTCTTCATATGTGTTAATTGAGTTTTTTAAGCAAAAAAAAATATCGAATGAGTTAATTAATCTAATACATCTTAGTCTGCTCAATTCCAAAAACTTAATTTAATAAGTTTTTGATTTAATCAAAGAATATGTCTAATATTCAATATAAATACTTTTATTTTCTCTTTTTTCAGGATATGCTCAAATGTCAAAACATTCATTGTAATAAATTTAATCAGCTGACCAAAATTCGTGTATTAAAATATGATATTTATATATTTTCCTTCTCAATAGACATCAAGATTTATTCAATGTTTTCCATCTTTGACTATTGTCGATATTATTTCTAAATCAGCGTCATAGACAAACGATGTCAATCATTTAGTTCAAGGAAAACCGACGACAATAAAATAGTTGTAAAAATCTAAGGTTAAAGAATTAAATCAAATGAAAAATTATTCATTAACTTGGTAATGAAACAAATCAATATACATATGTATACTAGTTTCATATTTCTATCTGAAATCGGTTTTACTTAAACACAAAAAACAAAACCAAATTTTAGTGACAAGAGTATTGTAAAAAGCTGAACAAGTAACTCGTTCGAATATTTGTGATGAATGAACAACATAAGAACAAAGAAAATGGGAATTTGATACAACAGGTAAACCTATTTCAGAAAGGAATAACGAATTGAGCAGAACTTTTATCAATCGCATTTGATTGTATTCATAACGTTGAATTGATATATACTAGACTATGATATGGTTCTAGATTTCGAAAATTTTGTTTCTCAAGATATTGGTCTTATTAGTACAGTAAAAATAAAAGAAAATAATTTGTACATAAACCACCTACAGCCAAATTCTAAAGTATAGTTGATCTAAATCTCTTGTATATATCCTGTATGCATCAACCTATTCTATTCAAAAGCGTATAAGTAAAGAATATTATTTCAAAGAGATTAAAACTTATTAAGCATACTTTAACAACATTGATAAAAGATTGCAAATTAGGGAATCAACATTATGAAACTATCCAAGAGTTCTTGATCTTTCTCATTATTGAAACGAAAAGTATTAAAGAGATCAAATACCGCGTCTAACTATTCTAAAATAACTATAGAATACATTTTAAAATTGCAGATACATTTAATATTACCTAGTGAGAAACTTTGAATGGGAATTGAAATGAAACAAGATTGAATATAGATAAATCATCATGATGAGATATATATTTTCGTTAACTATAATCAAAGATTATTGTCCAAGTCATGAATAACAGATTTTATAATAATTTACACTTCAAGCAATGCTTGATGTATTATAACTATAAGGATAGTTTTATTACATGAATACATAGTAGAATGTCTAGTCTATAAGAATGTAGAGTGTGGGTGTGAGTCGGGGATTTTTTTTTTTGTGCACATGAGTATGAAACAATAAAAGATCAGTACCAAAAAGTATCTTCTAATTTGAAACCAATTTGAAACGCAACTTTAAATAAACAATAAAGCAATGTGAAAAAAGAAAGTCGATTAAAATCTAATCAATCAAGCATTAAAAAAATCGATTTTTTTTCATTCTTATCATCGAATATAAATAGTTGTACACGATTTTCCTATACAAAATTAGATCTGTTTATATTTATAAACAAAAAATCGTTTCATTCATTCTCGTTAAAAAAAGATAAAGAGAACACACTTTTCATTGATCATATCGATTCTTACACTATTGTGTTATTCAAACGAAATACAAAATTGAGATTTTTTTTTTTTAATATAGTAGCACATTTCATCATCATCATGACTATCGATAAGTAAAATATATTGTTCCAATTTTTGGTATCTACATTTATTCAATTGAAAAAAGTTTTGATTTTAACTTTCATAAATATAATTTCTCACTTTTCAACTCTTCTCATTATCATATACATAAGAAACAGAAACGGATAGAGACGAGAAGCATATAAGAGAATGTATCAGACACGTGATAAGAAATACAAAACAAAATGAAAGAATTACAGAAGAGACGAGACATAAAAGAGAGCGAATTGAGACGTATTATCGGTTAATAACCATAACAATGAATATCTGTTCAAATTTTTACATAGACAAAATTCAATTGTTACACGATTTTGAGCAATTTTCTTGATAGAATTAATAGTAATTATTAGAGTTTGAATTAAAAGTTTCATTTGCAAATGAGAGAACTATGCATGATGGTTTATTGAATAGTAACATTATTACATTCCCTATACACACCAATTCGAATACGTGACATGCTGAAAAAAATTCTTTCTCTTCTTCGTTCTATCTATTCTCTCATTATAGTGAAAATAGAATAATCGTCTTGTATATCAATTCTACATTGTTTATTCTTTGTGTATTTCAGCTGTTCAAGCTTCACTCGGTATTAAAAAGTTAAATTTACAATTAAAATCAATTTCTCAAAGTGATCTGTGACTATTCAAGTAAGTTAGTCTTTAGCAAAATATAAAGATATTTCATTGTATAAATTTTTTTGAATTAGCTTGATTAAAATCAATATCATTTTCATCTGCAGTCGAAAAGTTAAGTGAATAAAAATAAATCACAACAATGCATCGTATGACAACGTCTAAAAAAAATATTGAACTTATCGATTTGACGAAAGATGAGAATATTCAAGAAAAATCAATAATGAATAATCAATGTCAATATACTTTTCGAATTCTAGTTAAAAATGAGGTTTGTCTATTATATCTAAGATCTCTCTATTGATATTTTTTCATCTGAAAATGAAAAGAATTAATTGTTCACAGTTTTATACTAAAAGATAATGATTTACTTTAATTTTTGTTTTTGATGTGAATCAAATTAGTTCATAATATTAATCTAGTCATGAAAAAGCTGGTTTAAATCAATATGATCTTTTGACATTTTACTAATCAGAATATCGTAAATGACTGACAGGAAAAAATCGATAATTGAGTTCAAGGAAACATAAAATAAGTCATATATACATTTCATCGACAGTGAACGATATAAACAACGAAATTGTCTACACAATGATTGCACTCATGGAGAAAGGAAAGGATCGCAACTGAATAGAACAAGAAAACATATGAGATGAGTGAAGTGACATGTATGTCAAAGGATATTTATGCGAAAAAGAGAAATGCAGAAGGCAAACGTGAAGTTTATTTATGATTCACCATTTTTCCACATCTATTTGCAGTCAAGTGGAAATCATTCTCGTAAAGAGAGATAGGAAAAATGGAAAGAAGAAAGGGTTTAAATATACAGAGTTAAGTCTTTTAGACTTCTGCTTTTGAAGATAGAAAGTCAGCAAATGACTTAACTGTCGGGAATATTTTTCATTTATATTAATTTTCATTAGATTTCATCAACAACAAATGTACCAAAAGTAACTCATACTTCAATTAATCATCAGCAATCATTGAAATCGAACATCCACGATGATAAAACAAAAAAATTTAAGGTAAGAAGCTGATTTAGAGATTCTCAAATGATTGAATATCATAAAAAATACTTTGTGTTTAAATTTGACCCATAAAGATCACAGCGAAAATCAATGTTTTCATTTCGAGATATGAGATTGTTAAGACCTAACCCTTACAAAATGGATGTCGAGTTATACAAGTGTCTGTATATATAATAAAAAAAAAAGCTTAATTAAAAAGAAGCGCTCTGTACTGCACTGCGTCTTGACGCGCTCTTTCAAACAAAAAATAAATAAATTGAATGAGTATTGACCAAAAAAATTTGGTTTGCATACTCAAGAAACTATAAATGAAGAAAAAATGAGATGCCAAGTAAAACTTTTTGTCGTTTATGAAAGATCAAATGACGGGCTATTATCCTATGTATGCATCTTAATTTCGACTAAAATGATTTTTTTTTTGAGGGGAGAGGAAATCCCCTTAAAAAACTTAGGCTTTCCGAACTCTGAGTAAAAAAAATTTGATATATTAAGAATCTTATATTTTTTAAAAGTTTAAAAATTCTAATTTAATTTAAATCAATTTTTACATTTTTTCTATCATTTAGTTATTTATCAATAAATATATGATCATCGATTGTCTAAAAGGATTACAAATGTTACCGAATAATTCAGTTCAATGTATTGTTACTTCACCACCATACAATAAACTTGGTCTTCGAGAAGGTCGTCAATATAAAGGACAAATTATTTATGATACATATGATGATAATATGAATGAAGATGAATATCAACAATGGCAATGTAATTTATTAAATGAAATAAATCGTGTATTGACACCAAATGGTTCTCTTTTTTACAATCATAAAGATCGTCGCTATTGTAAACGTGATTATCCTCCTGAAAATTTTATTCTTCAAAGTAATTTAAAATTATATCAAACAATTATTTGGGATCGTGGTTATACAGCTAATCAAAATTCTGGATATTTTCGTCCAAATCTTGAAAAAATTTTTTGGTTAACAAAATCTTCAATTGATTGTTTATCACTACCAAAATTTTATCGTAATAAATTACCAGAATGTTTTAAAAGTTCAATATGGAGAATAGCACCTGATCGAAAAAATTCACATCCAGCACCATTTCCACAATTATTAGCTGAAATTTGTATTTTGGCAACAACTGATCAAGGTAAATCTAGAATGAATAATCATGCTCAAAAAAAAATAAATAATCAATTGACATGTTTTTTGTTTAAAGCTGAACAAAATTGTACTATTTAAAAGCAATTAGATTTTTTTCTTCTTTGATTAAATTTTTCAAAAGAATATTTAGTCTGATTGATTCTTTTCTTTTAAATTCATGTTAAACAAATTTTTAGGTGATCTTGTATTAGATCCATTTGCTGGATCTGGTACAACACTTGTAGCTGCAGCTAATCTTAAACGATCATTTCTCGGTTTTGATATTAGTAAAAAATATCAACGTATGTTTCAAAAACGATTAACTAATTCAAATGCTCAAGTGAATCTTTGGGAACAAATGTTTGTCGTAGAAAAAATTCTTGATCAACGAATTCGAAATGGTTGTGTTGAATATTTACTGAAATGGAAAGGTTTTGATCATGATCAAAATACTGTAAGTTCAGTTTTTGGATTTTTTTTTCTTTATTTCCTATTTCAACATTTGAGTTAAAGATAGATTTTAAATTTAAAAGAAACTGAAAAAAAAACATATAAAAGAATATTTTATCTAAATTTATTTTACTTGGGGAGTGAATAATTGAAAATACTATTAAAAAAAATCTTTATTTCTCATTTAATTATATCAGTTTTCTTTAAAACCTTTACTGTGAGAAAAATGTTGAATGTTGTCTTGTTTTTTTTTTCATTTAGTGGGAGGACAAGAACAACTTACATTGTCCAGACTTACTCAAACAATTTGAATCATCATTATTAAAAAAGTACAAAAGAAAAAAATATGCATCTTCAACTAAAGTAAGTCATTGCTACCATTATACTCTAGTTACATGAAAAAGTGAATAGAAGATTTTTCTATTGAATGTTGTTGTAAAAGCTTCGAAATGACAATTTTTCTTTGTTTATTTAGTCACATGTACACAAAAGGAAGGTTACTTCATCGAGTGAAGAAGAACTTGATGAAAGGACGGCCAAACGTATTGCTAAGAAGAAATTATTATTGAAGAAGAAAAATTTATCTGACTTATCCGATGATGATGATTAACATTCATAGAAGATGATATGATTGAATTGTCAACTGAATTCTATCAGTACTCTAAACACGTGAATGATGAGCAGTTTTCTTAGGTTTTTAATTTTTCATTTGTATCTTTCTCTACATGATTCAGATATTTCTGTTGTTTTTTTTGTACTGTTCTATTATAGTTATTCATAGTGCATAAACGAATTGTCGTGTATGAATAAATATTATCATGACAATGTTTCTCAAATATCTTCATTAGTTTTTTACTAATTATCAAGAACACGAATAAGAAGATCAATTGAGAATCAAGATATTATAAGAAAAGTATTGTGTTTCACTTGTTCTATCCAAATGTCACAATTTATATAATACATTAATTCTTGTTTTGCGCTCAATTTTATTAGTTATTACGAAAATTAATTATACCATTGTCTGAAAGAGACAATCATTCACATACAAGTGCTTGTGTATGTGTCTATCTATCTGTTAAACTAATCGAAAAGTAATACTAGTATGCACTTGAATTTCGAGGATGTGGGTGTAGGTGTGGGGTGTGGGTGTGGGTCATCTCTTCACCAACAGTCACACCCACACCCACACCTGCACACCCACCCATACCCCACACTCATACCCACACCGTAGAGTAGGATAGGGCCAGGGTATCAAAATTGCCGCAGGGTAGTGTATAGGGTACGAAAAAGTCATACCCTGCAGGTCTCTAGTCTATTATAAAAATAAATGAGTGAGAAATAATACTATTTGAAATTTAGGATTATGTTTAATAAAAACAAAAAACCTTGAGATTTAATTTAATATTAAATATATCAGTAATTTGTTCGATTACGACTTTTCGTGTGGTTTGGCGTTCAAGATGTTGATTAATAAATCTTTGCGAACTTCAGAAAATTTTAATATTTTATTGAACATACATTTAACACAATGCATTCACCCCTACAGAAGCAAAAAAAACTTTTTGTGAATTAAAATTTGAATTCATTGATTTTAAGACAGTCTTCGTGAAATGAACTTCATATCTTGAATAAAATTAAACGAAATCAATTTATAATACTATTTCAATCATAATCAAAATAATAATCCTTACGTACGAAGACGAATAAAACGATTTTCTCTTCAATATATAACTACTCTAAATTAGAAGATTTATGATTAAAAAATTTATTTTTCAAGTTCAAGAACATTCTATTAAAAAACAAAAAAGGAACAGGAATGCATAAAATTTCTTCTGTATAAATTTTAAATTAAACATGAAGAATCATAATTATTCATGATGATTGTATAAATGTAACAATTGTTGATGATTTTATTCTTTGTCATAAACAATATATTTCTTATTTTGTGAATGAATAATCTATCCAAAGAATTAAATTCGTTGCTTTTTTAATGAAAGTTTCGATTTCATTAGAAATAGTCTAAAGGAATCACCATTGAGCGATCATGTTACTTTGTACAAAAAAAAAAAAAGAACAGAAATTTCTTTTCTTTGATATTGTTTTCCTAGTGATACAATTAAGGGAATGAAAAGATTTTAGAAGCTCACTACTTAATTTCAAAGTTGATTTTTGTTAGTTTCGAGTTATTTTTACACGAGCTGTTCTTTTATATTTTTCAAATTTTCTTACTTTCATATACATATCGTATCATCTATATACTAGTATGTGAGTGTGAGAGTTCTTTTCTCTTTTATTCACACTCACTTCCATAATCCACCTAATCTAGTTGAAAATTCGACAAATAATAGGTTTCTCAATTACGATTGTTAATAATTATATTGAGCAGTAAATGAAAGTTATACAGAAAAAATAAGATAAATATTGCTAGAACTGAGTATGTTGAAATTTGAGTATCCATTTCGAAACTTGTTCTTATCATGTAAATAACATATATTATCTACATTTTTAGTGATTAACTAACGGGTACATATATGTATGTATTATCATCAAAATTGGAATTACAGTTTTATTTGGATGAAATCAAAATTCAACTACAAATATATTGATAACGGTTTGTGTTTAGTAGCATCACATTTATCAATCTTCGTTATTTTTCTTGAATTCATATTAAACGTTTTTCTTTTGATTTGATTTTCAATGCATGCTTATTCAACTCTTCTCTTGTCACATTTAACGTTTTCAATTCAACTTCCTATCATGCTGTTTATACATTTGAAGGTACATGCTATACGTTTTCATTTATTTTCTTCGTCACTTAAATGCAGGGACGGCGTGAAGAGGTCAAAGCAGGGGGGAGTACCTTCGAAAAGTGGGAGAAAATGTGAAAAAAATCAAGTTTTAAGGTAATCGTTGAGCAAAAAAAACGAAAATTTTCAAAATCAGGGGTAGTACCCCCTACCCCCGCTCGCGCCGCCCCTGCTTAAATGTCATTTTTGTTTCTGAAAATACATATATATATAAAGCGCTAGATCATCAATGAATTCTATCAGTTGGTTAAACCTTCATGTCACTTCAAACAAATCGTTTGAACTTACAATCAATTGTACTTCGATATTATTCATTTGGTTTTCTTTCACATTCACTTCAATCTCTTTCTCAGTCACATGATCTCACCTTTGAACTTAGTATCATAGCTGAAAATGAGACATTTTTGAATTGATAATATACTTTTTTGGCTAATTCGGATTTCTGTTGAGTGTAAAATGTTTAATTGTAAGATGACAATTTCAAAAAGTTGAGAAGTTGAAAATGAATTGTTTTGACAGTTTTATTATTAGAAAACTCAATAAATATGAGAGAGTCTATTGAAATTAGTCAATAATGTGAAATTCTATGTATAGCCACAGATGGACGCATGCAATAAGAAATGAGCAACGTCTTTTATTTTCAATGAGATTAAGATAAGGTTTTTTTCATTAACAAGAAGCAACCAATCCTTTTCGACCATAGCAAAAGTCAAGCTGAGTTTATTTCTTTAAAATTCGAATTGATGACTCCTAGACTCACTTTTCGATATTCGCTTAAAAGAGAAATTCTTCTTTTTCTTGTCTTTAAGTACAGTCGTGGACATCTATTTCATACTCGAGATTTCAATGAAAGAAACTATAAGTCAAGATAAAATTTTAAAGCTACTGCGAAATAAAAATTGCTGAGTTCTTTAAAAAAATGCTACAACATACTGGAAAATAAGTTACAATATGGAATTATTTTCTTTCAACCGAAAATCATCTTCAATATTTTAAAGATGAAAGATTTCGAATAGGACGAAACATTCCAGAAGAAGGAGAAGGTATTTTATGATAAAAGACGTTACATTAAAAAAAAACATATTGATCAGTCAATGTATTTCGAACATCTATGAAGATGTTTTCATAGTAATTTTGAATCACTTTTTATGGATCTACGAATAAACTTGTTCCAAATTTTGTTTGTAACTTTTTCTCAAGAAATACATGTAAGCAAAATATTGTTAACCTGTAAGATATAATGTACAAAAAACAATAAAATAATATATCATGTATTTGTGATTATTACAAAGTATTTTTCCGTTACTCCTTTTTAATGGCATCTCTACTATTGATAAACATCTAGCTTCCAACGTGCATCGTCTTAAAATAACATCAGAAAGCAATGTTTAGTTTTCACTGACGAATTTCATATTATTGGGAATGGTTACTGAACCTCACGTTGTTCACCACTTACTGTCGATGCTTTTTGACCAATGTTTATATATAACACTTTACAGGACGAGTAGTAGTCGAACATGAATTATGATTATACAAAAATAGTTACTCTATTAGAGCTTTCATCATACACGAATTGACAATTTCGTTCTTATGGTAAGCGATGTTTTTATATCTAGATAAAGTCACTAGTCATATACTATGATAATTTTGAACAGTCGTTTGGTATGCATCAATCAAATTATCTCGTTGAGTATTATTGATCCATTTAACTAAGTTGGACTCTACTTGCTCTGTACAGCTGCCTTGTAGATTAAATCTTGATTCTAAACATCATTCGAAAGAGCAAAATTTTATCGATTTTCTCAATGATGTTTCTTTGGACAATATTTTTATATGAAATGGATTACAGCAGCTCACTTTTTCCATAGATTGAAAACATCTAAACATGACAGACATTGCTTTTTCAATTGTGAAGTGATTGTCGTAGCTACAAGTCCTTCATTTCGACTATTATAATGCTCAAATACCTGAAACATTAGATATACAAAAATGTTTCGTCTTTAGACGTACACTACACGTACCTCCAGAACGGAGTATCATTATATATTTCTTTTCGTTTGTCATTTTTTCCGACATATTGATTACAGTCGAATAAGAGTAATTGCAAAGATATGAAGAGCAAAGCTATAAAACGTGATTATAGTGTTATATTATATGAATGTTTAATGATGCTATTACTATTGTAAGTTCTTATAAGACGTGCTCAAAGCATGGACTATCACAGGTATATTCAAATGTGATGGAGACTTAATAAAGAATTCTATGAACGTGAACATCATTCTTTTACTTTTCAAAATGGGCCTGTCATTGTAATTTGATATGTGTTTTCTAATTTATGATTGCATTTACTATTGTGAGTCATGAACAATGCATTGATATACGCTTACAAGAATATACTCAACGAAAAAGAAATGAATCAGATTAATTTTTGATTTTTTTTATTTAGTTTTCTCTACTTTGAAAGAATTTCGTAAATGTGTATTTAAGCAGATGTTGTCTACATGTCTATATATATACATGATTATTTCAAGATGATGTGGGTGTTGATGCTCGTTTAGCCAACATTCCAGTATGTTTTTCTCGAAATTCGAGTTGATTATTGTCTTCCTATTGTAAATCGTTATTTTTCTTGAATGTTGAATATTTTGAGAGAGACACGTGGGTTTTTGTGACAACTAGCATGACTATTAAACATGTCCAAAGGCAAAATTCCAGATAAAAAGTCTTCGTTTCTAACTTTGCAGAAATCTCTTGCCTATAGAAATCTTTAACCTCATTCTTGGTCTGACTGAGATCTATTCGTAGGTTTACTATAAAAGTGAACAGCGTGACCATCCTTAGATTGTTTCATTGTTAATTTATTAAACTGTCGAATTTTATTTATTTTTTCACAAATACAAAATTTCTAATAAATAAAACAGATATCAACAGAAACAATTTCCAGATTTTCATTTCTCATAATCGTGCTGATTGATTTACTTAGGTTTATCCAAAAGTAGTGGCGACGGTACTTTTTTCTTATAGAAAGTTTGAAAAAATTTTCTTTTCTATGAACAGATAGAGCATCTTTTGCTCTATTTTTCTATGCTATTTGACCACTATTCAACTAATCTAATAATAAAAAATTTTGATAAGAACTATTTTTTATTGAAAATTAGCTGGTAGCATTAGATCATGATAGGTGTGGCACTTTTTCATTCCACTTTATTATCGCTTAACACGTTGTATTTCAAAAATATGTACCGCAAGATGCAGCGTGAAAAGCTCTAAAATTTATAAAGGACCGTTTATTTTATAGCTGCACTTTTTGTTTTCAAAATGAATAAAATTCTGAGCGACTAAATTTTGACGTTGCAAAAACGAAATTCTTTTTTGGTAAAAGACGAATTCGATTTGTTTTTTATCTCATTCTTTTATAATTGTTCTTTAGTAAATTGTAGAGCTTTTCACGCTGCATCTTGTGGTGCATTTCGGTTTTTTTTAATACAACTTATTAAGTGACAATAAAGTGGAATTCAAAAGTGCTACTTCCATTATGATGTAATGCTACCAGCTAATTTTCAACAAAAACAGTTCTTCTCGAAATTTTATTATTATTAGATTAGTTGAATAATGATCAAATAGCATAGAAATATAGAGGAAAAGACGCTCTATCTGTTCATGAAAAGGGTGGGTGTGGGTGTGGATGCGGGTGTGGGTGTGTGGGTGTGTGGGTGTGGGTGTGAGTATGGGTATGAGGGTGTGGGTGTGGGTGTGGGTGTAGGGTGTCGGTGGGTGGGTGTGGCTATTAGTCTTCACTTCATCCACACCCCATCCTGTTCAAAGTTTATAGTTATAAAGAAATACCTAGAGAAATCCTTTGTTAAGTATCACTATTGATTTCAACAAAAAAAAAATTTACTTTTTCATGGATAGGGAAACAAACAATATACTTCAAAACAGTTTCTCTAATCCTGTCTTTATGAATATAAAGCGTAGACATGTTTCTATCAGTAGCATAAAAATCAGTTCATTTGCTGGAACCGGAATGGAAATATTCAAGTTTTTGTTCAGGAAAGTGACATATTCCCCTCTTAGTGTGCTGGTTTTTTCCTATTTATGAAAAAGTAATTTTTTTTTGTTGAAATCAATAGTAATACTTAACAAAGGATTTCTTTAGGTATTTCTTTATAGCTATAAACTTTGAACAAGCTTCTATCAATGGTAAAAATTTGAAATCGTTTGGTTGACATCTGGCAGAGATATTTAAATTTCTTATCGCCGGGTTATTTATGGACCACCCTGTAATTAGCGGTAACGGTAATGAGACCAGCTTCAGAAGAAGCGCAACGTATTTAATGATGAGATTTATACACCAGTTCTTGGAATAGTAAAATGCAGTACAAAAACCAACTTGTTGTACCAAAATTACTACTCTTTCTACTATGTACACAATTTAGATGAAACTACTGTAAGAAAGGTTGTTGAGATGGCAGTTATTGAATTTATAATGAGACATGGTTTTTAACTCTGCTATTCAAAATTATGCTGAAGCCGCCCATAAAATTTGTTTTCCAGGACTCGTTAAAAATACCATTAATGCAACAATGGATGCTGCGATGAGTATAAATCCAACCTTAAAAAAATGATGAGCAAATATTGTGAAAACTTAGCGAAGCATCTCTAATAAATCATATAAATGATCTTCGTTTTGTTGTGTAATTTCAAACACTTATTCAACTTCTTTATGCAAACAATATATCATATCTATCTAGTTCTTTATGTTCTTTTTTCCCTTCTTTTACTTGTCACTAAAACTATACCATGAAAAGTTTCTCTTGGAAAATCCCTTCTGCTTCAAAAAATCGCATAAAATATTTATTTCCTTTTTCATTTAACAACTTGATTCCATGACTACTACAGGTTATCACACCCTTCTCTTTATCATAATAAAAAAAAACAAGAAAATTTCTGAAAAATAAAAATTAGATGTATCGAAAAAAAAATCATTAAAAAACTTAAAATAATATTTATATTAATTACTCTTTAAATCAACATATCATTAATAAAAAAAAAAACGTCGGCCTAAATTTTACGAACCTTTTCTTGTAAGATTTCTCTAAAAATAATTCAAAAAAGCAAAAGTCCTATAAAGGTAACTTTATTATTAAAATATATTTTGAGTTAATATCTGATTAAATTTTCGCAATAAAAGAAATGTAAATACAAAAAATATCACGTTGTCAGCGAAAGCTGAATACTGGAAAAGAGTTAAATATGAAATAGAATCTGATTGGTTTGAATAGAAAAGAATAAGATATATACAAAAGTGTGTGTAACCTATCTAACCGTTCTATATACGATAGATAGATGTTCTACACTTCATTCGCATTGGTTTCTGTTCATCGACCAATTGTCATCGTAATAAACAATCGATAAACAGTAAATTGCTTTTTATTTCTGTAAGTTATGTACGCTGGAGTCAGAGAACCATCGAACGAAGGAGGAGCACCGAGTTGCATTTATCTGGCTGCCATTCTCTCATTCATCGATCTGATTCCATTCTTTTACATTGTTGGACGATCTCCACCTCATTTAAACAAATCACCTCCTCCAGCACCGTTTGATGCTGACAATCAGCAAGCACAACGACGTCACACATGGTCACAGCTCTTCGCCGAGTGTTCGTATCAGCAACACCAATATCAAAATAACCGAATCGTGTGTTTCAAAGTGTACGATACACTACCCGTCTGCTTCTTCATTTTAGCGTTCGCTCTCGCCATTACTCTTCTTATATTCAATTTGATAACAATAACTCGAGATCTGTCAAATTTTGAACGCGCGTTTCGTACAGTCGTTCATGCAGTGTACGCCGTAGAGCTTTTTGCAACAGCACTTGTCTATTTCATCAATCGATATTGGTGTTACGACTGCAAAAAACTCGTTTTTATTTGTTTCATTCCAATCCTGACGACATTGTTTATGCCTTGTAATTGGTATCAATGCAATGGACAACATGTACAACTTCGAACAATATTGATGGATAATCAACGAGTTCGTTTTCTTACACCTTCTTCTCATCATTTGACATCTAGTCCGCTAATTATAATTGATACTCAACGACCGTCGCCGTCACCTCCTTGTCATCTATCAGAAATTAATGCTGATCCTCAATTGGAAAATGAATACAACGAATGGTTGGAAGCCCATCGAGAAAACATCATGGAACAACAACAAATCTAGTCAACTTATTATTTCTATTCATCAATAATAATTCTTTTCTCACTCAAGAAATCTCAATCAATAATTTGTTTCAAATTCATTAGACTTGTGTACGATGATCTTGTACAAATTTTATACTGAATATAAAAAGATTCAAATTTTGGTTATTCTTTTGTTAGAAGAAAACCATTTCAATCTTTTTTCATAAATGTTTAACAATTTTTTGAAGATTATAGTAATGATTTCGAATCGTTATTATATTGAAAATTAATAATCTTGATTGAATTCTGCTCTGAATAGAAATTGTGTGTGATCGATAAAATGTTTCTATTTTAAACATTCTTAGTCATTTTTCAAATAATAAGATAATCTAAACAGAATAAATGTTAAAAGTTCTCTTCCATCATTATACGACATGCAGAAAAAAATTTCAACTTAACGACAATATTCACTTTTAGATATCGCTTTTCGAGAAAAATCTAATGAACGAATTTTAAAATATTCAAACAGAGATAACAGATCACGATTCGTTCGTTTGATTTTAGGTACTAGCCAACAGTACAAGCCGAACGATTATCCTTGTAAACAAATGGATAAAGTGAAAAGAAAATCTCGGAAAAGTGCAGTCTGCATTATTTCATTGGATGTCAATCACCCAAATATTTATTTTCTCAGATTTTATTACAAATTGGACAATTCAAAAATTGTTTTCTGATTGACTAACAATTCAGATTCGAGGTTTAATACATGGAGAATATCAACTGTCGATGTCTCCCTTTTCTTTTTTGAACATGTCTTATATAGTAGAAGGAAAGCGATCAGATATGAGAAAACATAGAGACAAAAGGTCAGTACGAGGTGAAGAGGTCACAATATATAGGGCAGATAGTATAGAACAAGTAAAGCATAATAGCCAATAATAATTACAAAAACAAATTTGGCTAGTTGAATGTTCGCGCTTTGCACGAACGAGAAATTCTTTTTTTTTCTATTTCATTTATAAAATAAACTGTTCTTTATAAATTGTAGAGCTTTTCATACTGCATCGTATGGTAAAGCGTAGCCATATAATCTGCTTCACCCATTCGTTAGTCAAGTTTTATACAGAAACAGTTCTTATCGAGATTTTATTATTATGATAGTTCATAAAAAAAATAATTAGATTCTATTAATCGTTTTATTTCTAATAAAAAACGTCAAACATCACAATTTCATATATTCAGTCGATTCATCATCGAACAGGTTTTTTTTAAAAAAAAAAGAATTTCAAGAGAAATATTTTCTTATTTAGTTAAGATTAATTTGTTTAGATATGTTATATTATTGAAAATGATCTGAGAAAATGTTGATTATACAAAATTGATTTAACAGAAATAACAAATAAATTTTGACTTCAGTTCGTCGATTTAGATATTTTAGCTAAAATGAAGAATGAAATACTTAATAAAAATTGTTTTATATGAGAGAAAATTGATTTTCCGAGGTTTTATTTGATTATGTTATCCAAATGTGACACAATTCATTTGTTTATGAAATCATTTTCAATATTTTCTAACAGTTACGATCGAGAACAATTCATTCGTATTGTTTAACTCTGAACTCAAATGAAAATTGTATTTAGTAAGATTTTTCAATAACTATTTGATCTTCAGTTGGCTTAATCTATTGATGATGTTCAATTTTTTATTGATTCTATAACAAAGATGCTACTCTTAAAAAATGCTTATGCGATGGCTGTTGAAAAATAACAATTTTTTTTTTCTTATTTTTAATTCGTGATGGTTTATATATAAATAAAAGATAATTGTTATTGTCATTTCATTTAACTCATTTGTGCAAATCAAATACATGCATCTAAAACTCACTGTTTTTCTCTCTCTTCTTACTCTTTCTCATCTAGTATCTACCAAATGATGTAAAGAAGAAGAACAATACATTTCTACGGAATGATAGTCATTAGAGTGTGTATTTACATTCTGATCGTTTTTCATCATGCAGAAGGAAAATGAGGTAAATTTTTAATGATTTTCATTTGTTCAGATTTTTGATAAGCGAAAAACGACATATTCTTGTCTAAAAAGAATTAGACATCATCATTATTCAGTTAAAAATATTGATCTAACTATTGGACATTTGAAATCTGTTTAAAAAAGAGATCTGAAAAGATAAGATAAATAATCATCATTTGACTGCCACGAAAGATTATCTTTAATGGTATTAAAATATATATTCAGTTCGAAATAAAATTCATTCAAGTGATAAGCATACTTATTGATAATCATTGAATAGATCGATGAAGTTCTAATTTTTCATGAGCGGATTGTCTTCAATGAATTGATGAATTTAAAGATCCTTTAACTTAGGTTGATAAACTATCAAATATATCTTGTTATGTGATAGTTACTATCTTAATCATTTTCTCTTTGATTTTTCAATTTTATTTTAATAGAATCAAAAAAGAATACATACGAATGACATGTAAAATGAAATAGTCAAAAAACGAATAATCTAAATATAGATTTACCATTTCTATGGGATTATCTAAACGAAGAACGAGCATATTGACGCCTATAAACATGATGCTGAATAAAACCATGCGAACTAATCATTAGACGTGAATCACATTTGTCGATAGAATTGAAAAGAGAATGCATCTCAGTGATCTGCTTAAAATTACCTATAGAAGAAGAATAACGCATATGTCCTTGCCTATAAATACGTAAAACTAATATTTTCAGTAATGGACATTGATGGCGTAGATAATGCGCAATTTCTCTAAATTCGATGGTTGGGTGTGGGTGCGGGTATGGGTGTGGGTCAATGAGAAGAGGAACACCCACACCCACATCCCAAGCTATTGTGCAGTTTTGAAAAAAATGTGTTAAACGGTTATTAACAGGCTGACTTCCGTTTACTAGACCCTAATGGGATAGACTTAGTTATGCTAGATTTTATAAAGAAAATTAGCATGATTATTTGATCTCTCATGTTGTTTCGACGAGCCTTTCCTATGCATGAATTGCTTCGTAAGGTTCTAACTTTCGATTACTCTATTATATTTTTATCATTACCATAAAACTATAATTTGACACTACTGATAATGCAGAATATAGGATGAAATTAGTCTCTCCAAATTTGTTGGTAAATAACGGTGCAATTGTACATGAAACTACTTTCAGTCATCAATAAGTTGATAATGCACCCATCCAACATAAAACTTCGTAAAACTTTAAACAGATCAAATTAATTGAAATAACTGCTGTGACAACATTGCTTATAGTAGCTACTATCCATTCGTATGTTCGATGAGAATCATCTTCAATTATTGCCGGACTAGCATTAAATGTTTCTTTAGTTACAGTAGCTAGAGGATGATCTGACAAGGCTGCACCTTCGATACTGAAATTACTCTGTTGAAATTAATGAAACAAATTGATTAGTATATGGCATGAAGGTAGTAAGTCTCCTCATACTCATACTAAATGGGCACGGCTTTCCTTGTAAGTTAAACTAACGGGTGGACCATAATAAATGTCCCACTTTTGCATTTCATTTTTCCACAAATTAGTACGTTGTATTAAAAGAACAAAATATATCACAAGATGCAGTGGAAAAAGTTCTACAATTTATACAAGACAGTTCTTCCTACAACTATACTTTTTGCTTTCAAAATCGACAAAATATGGAGGGATCAAATTTTGACCGTGCGAAAACGACATTTTTTTTTTCGTAAAAGATGAATTCATTTTTTTTCTCATTTCATCTTTTCATCAGTTGATATCTTCTATTTAAAAAGAAAACAAAATATACCATTAGGGTGTGGGTGTTGGTGCGGGTGTGGGTGTGAGTGGGTGTGGGGTGTGGTTGTGGATCTCCTCTGCATTCACACCCACACCCACACCCACACCCACACCCACACCCACACCCACCCACACCCACACCCACACCCACACCCACACCCACACCCATCCACACCCACACCCACACCCACGCCCACATCCACACCCACACCC